ACAGGGTCCCATGGACTCCTAAGAAGAGGAGGGGAAAAGACCGTCCTGGACATCCAACAGCTGGAAGAGGGGAAGTTTTAAGGGCCTCTGGGTTCAGTATTTTTGTCTAACTTGCATGTCAGTGGGAAGTATTATTCATGCTTTAGATCTCAGACATCGTAATTTAATTTCCAAGGTTATTGGATAATGGGTGAGTGTGGTTTTACTACAAGAGCCTTGAAATTGAACCTGGGCTTTTTTTCCTGGGTATCAGTGCCTTGCTGAAAATGTAGACTTTCTAATACTAAGAGGTATGCCACCATGTGGGTCTCCAAAGGTATTTGAAAATCATATTTTGCCCTCAGTGAGAAAAAGATGATTTAATGGACTCTTCTGACCCAATGTTTATGAATCCTTTCACAGTTTCCCAGGGCACCCAGTGTGTTTGCTCATGACCCTTCTGCAGCAGCAGTGGTCAGGGGCTGCTGTTCCTGCGATGAGCATCATCCCAGTCTGCCCATTCTGCTCTCTTGCCCTAGGCACAGATTCCCACTTAGCTGGACCATGTCCTGGCTCCCTCCAGCTGAGACTCCTGAGCTAGTGCAACTGGGGTTGCTGCAAACCATCTCAGGGAAATTACTTCAGATTTGTGCCAGATTAATTTCTCCCTCAAGGTTGCAGGACACTTTCTGTCCTGAACTACTTCTTTCCACATGATGATCTTTTCTTAACTGTTCTGGGCTGATGCCATCCATGCTGGTCTCAGCTAGAGGAGTAATCTTTATGGAAACTTTGAACAAAATCCCTTCAGTGTCTTTCAAATTGTGGGAGAGTGGCAAAATAGACTTTTATATTTGTTAAAAGGATAATCAGTTCTTTTGGCAATACTACAAGAAAATAGATGATGTTGAAAGGTTAGCAGTAAGACAATCCTTTTGGGGGGTTTGTACTGCACTTGGTTAAAGGAATTAAAAAAAATTGCCACATGAGATCTACCATGGTCTGGGATCTGCTCTAAATTTTAATTAAGATAAAGAAACTCAACTCACAGGCAACGTTGCTGCATAGTTTTACTGGGTTTTACATAAGACAACAGCTTTGTGATGG